TTTTCTTTTCTTTTCTCTTTCTTGATTGTTTCTTACTCTTTTTCCTTTTCTGCTTTCTTTTCATTTTATATTCCCTAAAACTTTGGTAAAAATCAATTCCAGTTATTCTAGTACCTCTTAAAAGTTTGTCAGTACCCGCACAAATGTATCTCTACCAATTTCTTATTCGATCAGTCACACTTCAAATACGACTCCACTTTCCCTAATTATTCTTAATTCTTTCTAAAACAGTCCTTACCTAAGGCTCTTTCTATTTTGTTATCTTTACGATAATTCTCGTACACTTTGTTTAAAGACTATCTACAGTATCTTCTCTTATCTTAAGGGAAGTTGAGGCTAACTCGTCCCCATTAAAATTTTATCTACTTGCGAATACAGTTTCGTTCGCCGGCTTACGCAACGAGCCCAGAGCAAGGAGGCCTACGTGTCTAAATTTCTCAATAATTTCATGATAATGCTATGAATTGTATATCAATATGGTTTTGCTCTAGTTTACCTTGCAACCTTTCATAACTCAAACATAAGTTACTGGACGTTTGAAACAGGATGAAACGTTGTCAAATAATTATGACAAACAAAACGTAAACATGGTAAAAAAATGGTCCAAATTTTTCCTAGAAAAAGGAACTTTGTCATTTTTTGCTAATATTTTCTAAGCCCGAGGATTTGGTCGAGCAAATATTATCTAAAATAACTCTGTCTTTGTATAGCTTTAACGCGTTGTTTTCATTTTCTTTTCGGTACAAATGTAGTTTTCATTCCGCTTCAAGTTATCGTTGTGGTCGTGTATTTCTATAACTGCAAATGTTCGTGCACGCTGTGAGGCGAATGTCGAAACAGTTGATATCGACCAAAAAATTATATTTTCCGTTCACTATGTATTTATCTATTTGATTATTTATTTAATAAATTTTTGTTTTTGATTTTTTGACCACTTCAAAATGCTATACTTGTGCTCGACTTGGCAATGAAGCGTTTTGCCCTCACTTTTTTAATAACCAAGTAATCCTATCAATCTTATGACATCCTTAATAAATCCCACTTAACTTCGTATTCATCGAAATTGAAAATAACTAAGAATCAAAGGAGGTGTGCTGGCGTTGTAGGGTCTTATGGTTCAAGTCAATTGCCATTGTAGTTGTCTCTGATACAGAAAGCACGCAGCAAAAAAATAGTATTTTGCTTTCAGAAATTATCGACTTTTGTGTACCGAATATGCGTTAAAAGTACTTCTACGAAAACAAAATACCATTGCTGTTTTTTCACTTAAATTTCTCGTAACATACTACCTAAATACCACTAGATAGTTGTGTTTTACTCATTTTTTCAGTTGTTTATATTATCCAATATTAAGGTTAATTAACTTGGACAAAACAGTTCAACAAAGCCAGTCATTGGCGCCGTCGGTTTTGCCTTTTCTCTTCGATAAAAAATACTTCCTGACAGATTCGGGATTTAAGACCAAAAAATATTAAAACGAAAAAAATAATCTGGTCATAAAGTTTCACTCTGCAATTTCGAAACTATCTGAAGAGCTGCAACAATAAGCATTTTAAACAAATAAATATATCATTAAGAAATACTTATGGTTTCTCTCAAATGAATCATCAAACGACGTCAATGAGTTCTCGACTTCCTTCTTAAACAAACGCGTCTAATTAGCCCGTGATTCGCCTCGAAATCACTCTTTTTATGTTTTCCCAAATTAACAACTTTCTAAATATTTGTGGATTCATTGTCAAGGCAAACTCGTAAATATTTTTATTTCTGGGTCAAATAGCCCTAAATAACCAGTAAAAAATAATAAAACAGTTAAACCCAATATATTTCTTTGGATTTCTAAATACATATCTCCGCATGAGAGGCGATTTTTCTTTCTTTTTTACTGAGCACCTGCTACAGATGTGTCATTGTAGATATACAAAACAATCAGATTATGGCGCCTTGGGAAATCCCTAATTAGTTTTTAAGTTAAATGCCAGCTTGATTATTTTCCCTCAAGAAGCTAAATATTATTGTCTTAGAGAAGCAGTTCGTAATTTCCACGCTATTTCAATTTCCGTAGAGCTTGGTTAAGTCTTGTTTATATAGCCTTGTGAAGTGAATCGTTTGTCCATAGTTCATCAGAGCAGCTAGGGCCTTGCATCGACTGGGATCCCTCATCCCGGCACACAACTTTTGAACTGAGGAATTCCAATGAACTGAGTGGAACATAACTAAAAGAACTCCACTTCGGTAAGTCAGTATTTTTAGTTCAATTCTGCTTAACAATATCAAATTGTAATAAATTTCTCATCATAGCAACAAAATATAAAAGAGACATCATGTTCATCAAGTCACTACTATGGACAGATCTTATAGAACCGACATTTTTAATGTTCAAGTTTTTGAAACAATATCTTTGAAATTTAAAAAAAATTATCCGAGAATCTTTTTCTTACTTAAAAGTATCCTAAAACTAGTTCAATGTTTTTCTTTTGCCCCTTCAATATCATGAATGAGTGAATTGATAAAATTCAACGCAGAACAGAGAAGAAAAGAAATATTTCGATTTTCTGGCAAATTTTCGGAAGATAGCCAGAGCACTAAAACGCTGAAACAAGTCTTTGATACAGATTTTTTTTCCTAGTAGATCAATCATTTCATAAATTAAAAAATGCCTTAGTCTCTTGTAAAAATTTAAACTGACTTCAAGGCTAAACATCCCGAGCAAAAGATAATTTCTTTTAAACTTTTCGATCAGTAAACTCAGATTAGCTGTACTCATCTTATTAGCGGAACGAGCGAAGATACTCATAAAACATTCTCGATAAAGTCTTATCTTGTAGTTATTGAACTTGTTTAACTGATTTGTCGGCAACCGGGTAAGATAGGCTAATTCGGTAATATGAAAGCTATGTTTGTAAATTGTAGTCGGCATGGTGTTCCGCTTACTTCAATCACATGAAGACACCGAGTTTTGAGATAACGAGGAAAAATTTTTCACAGGAAGAGCGATGCTAAATTTTTGAAACGCCACGAAAATGAAAACAAAGCTATATCTAATATGATGAATTTATTTATTGCCTAGTTAAGTAGCCCTATAGAAATTATTGATCATTTGTATCTAGCTAAAAGGGACTCCAAAGAAAATCAGAGTTCCCCTTTCAGGGACTTTGATTTTCYTCTCGTAGTTCCTTTTAGCTAAGAGACAAATGACCAATATTTTGTATCATATATATCTTTTGGAAATTATCCTCCTATTTTTATTATAGAGAGCGAACGAATGTTAGACATATATATGATAATAAATCAGTGAATAACGAGAGGTGAAAGAGAAACTGAACTCAGAAAAAACTGAGTTCCAGATGGTATATGGCCGTCCGTGTAATCTAGACGGACACTGAGGCCACTGGGCCCTATTGATGAGCTATGGCTACAGTTGTGCTTCCCATCTGGGGAAATCGGATTTTTTTCTGATTTTTTTTCCTTTTATCTTTCCAGTTATTTATTTATCCATAGAGAGCGATCGGATTTTACATTATTTTGAGCAGAAAAAATAGGTAAGGTGACAATTTTTGGCGTCGAGAAAGAGGAGCAAGATAACGTTAGTAATGGCTGAGGTGTTGGTTGTTGTTAACAAGAATGCTCAATATTAAAAAACACCTAAAAGCCTTCCCAACATTAACTTTAATTATAAACTTTAATATTTACGGAAGAAAAAAGTTGAACTTCCTTAAGATAGAAATTGTTTTGGCAAAAGGCTCAAGGGCGTATTCGTCGTGGACRGAAATTTGAATGATAGACGTTTTGCCTTCTTAAACCAAGTTTGCGTAAAGTAAAAGCCGTTGTCGGGAGTGGAATCTTGAGATTATAAAATTCATGTATTTTTCTCTCGGTAGGTTCATAATGGCCTTCAAATGTCAACTAGTTCTGCTAGCCATTACATTCCTATTAGCACAGTGTTCAGGGTCACTAGACAAGAAGGATAGTACGACAAATCACTTAGACGAGAAGAAAACAGATTCCACAGAAGCACATATTGCACAAGAAACAGAAATTGTAAAACAAAATTCCGATATTGGCTCAGTTGAAGACAATTCTAAGACAGAAGAGAAGAAGAGGTCCGCCGCCCCCCAGCAACCTGGCCTATGGGGCAAACGTCAAAAACCCGGATTATGGGGAAGATCTGCTGACGCACAACAGCACGGCCTCTGGGGCAAACGTCAAAAACCCGGATTATGGGG